AGAGGGTGGGGGGGGGGGTGCAGAAAACTATCCGAACGGGAAGAGCCCTTTGCCCGTGGAACCACTTCTCCGGTCCTCCTCTTGCTTCCGATCTCCAAGCGGCCCCGGGAGAGCACAGCCCTCCGTTGGGGGAATCCTCTGCCTTTGGACTTCCTGCCTCGAGCTGGGGGCGATCCGGAGGAGACGTTCTCCCAGCTCCCTTCTGGATCCCGTCACTCAGCCGCCGTCTCCTTTTTCCCCCTCTCCCCCAGGGCCATTCTTCGGGCACGTCGCCCATGTCCTCCAGCGTCCAGTCGGGCACGCCCATCACCAACGACCTCTTCAGCCAGGCCCTGCAGCACGCCCTCCAGGCCTCCGGCCAACCCAGCCTGCAGGTCAGTCGCCTGGTTGGTGGCCGAGAAGCCGCGCTCCCTCTCAGCTTGCGGAGTCTCGTGAGCAAAAGTTCTACTTTGTGGGCTCCCGGCATTCAAGTTGTGAGCGGGCGATTGGGCTGCTGCATAACCAGTTTGCTCCGGAGCCCTCCTTCCTGAGTGGAGACAGAAATGTGTGAGCCGGAGGCTAAAAAAAACAACGAGCTAGCTCACACTCACTCAGCCAAGACGGCCTCGGAGTTGTCCCCCTCGCCTCCCTCCTGTGGGCAGCTCCCGGTGTGTGACGGCACGGCAGATAATCCTTTTGGAAGGCACCGTGTGGGGGCAGAGGGGTGGCTGGCAGGGCAACGATCTCAAGAGCTTGGGAGTTTGGGTTGGCACCAATGCTCCCTCTCAGCTGTGGAGTCTTGTGAGCAAAGATTCTACTTTGTGAGCTCACTGGCATGAAAGTGGTGAGCGGGCGATTTGGCTGCTGCACAAATTAGTTTGCTCTGGAGCCCTCCTTCCTTCCTGAGCCGAGACAAAAATGCGTGAGCCGGAGGCTAAAAATCTGTGAGCTGGCTCACACTCACTCAGCTTGGAGGGAACACTGGTTGGCATCGCAGAGGCATGCTGGGAGGGGATCTCTTGATAGTAGGCTACGGGGGGGTCTTGAGTGACGGATCCTCTTGAGCACGTGCAGTTGGTGGCAGTAAACCAAGGGCGCCTCCGCACACACTAAAAAACCCACTTTCAGTACACTTTCAATGCACTTCGCAACTGGGTTTTACCTTGGCCGCTTCCGCACTGTCATTTTTGTCACTCGTTTGTCCCTGTTGCTTCAGGGTTTTGCCTAGGGATGTGCATTCGGTTTGTCTGAACCGAATGCACCCCCCCCCAAAATGGCCCATTTGGGCCCCTTTCAGGCTGCTGCAGGCTGTTTCAGATTCTCTGATCTGAATCGGCTCGCCGTCGAATTGCTGCCAAGTTACTTTCCCCCCCTCACTATAGAGAACAATGGAGGGGATGGGGGCAACCTGCTTGGGGGCCCGTAGAATTGGACCCCCAGGTCCAATGTTCTTGAAACCTGATGGGTCTCTTGGGGAGAGGCTCCCGCAGCTAGCCTGCAAGTTTGGAGCCTCTCCCTCAAACCCCCCTCCCCTCCGGCTCCCTAGAATATAACCTATGTTTTTGCCATTGACTTCAATGGCCCATAGGATATAACGGGGCCGAAATTGACATTCGGCTGGCCGAAAGACTCCCCAAATGGCTGGTACTGCCGAAATGGACATGCAGGGGTCTTTCTGCCGGCCGAATCCGAATCAGGATGAATTTTTTTTTTTTTGCACACCCCTAGTTTTTCCTCCCCCTCAAATGTGTTTTGGTCTCTCTAGTGATCTCAGAGGGAGCAAAGCACGTGTGGAAAACGGGTGGGGTGGGGAGGACCCGAGGCAATAGCGACAAATGAGTGATAACAGTGACAGTGCGGACAGTGGCGCGTCCAAAGCTGCTCAGAAAGTTTGTGCCAGAGGTCCCTGTTGCTTCCCTACATGAGCTAGGGTGGGGTGGACAGTGACTCATCCAGAGGGTGCCCCGTAAGCTTTTACTGAAGGCCTGCTGCCTCCCCCCATGGGCTAGGGTGGACGGGACACTAACTCATCCAGAGATGCCCTGTAACCTTTTGCAGAAGATCCCCATCTCCTTCCCCCATGGACTAGGGTATAGTGGACAGCGACTCATCCAGAGGTGCCCCGTAACCTTTTGCAAAAAGTCCCTATCTCCTTCCCCCATGGGCTAGGGTATAGTGGACAGTGACTCATCCAGAGGTGCCCCGTAACCTTTTGCAAAAGGTCCCTATCTCCTTCCCCCATGGGCTAGGGTATAGTGGACAGCGACTCATCCAGAGGTGCCCCGTAACCTTTTGCAAAAGGTCCCTATCTCCTTCCCCCATGGGCTAAGGTATAGTGGACAGTGACTCATCCAGAGGTGCCCCATAACCTTTTGCAGAAGGTCCCTATCTCCTTCCCCCATGGGCTAGGGTATAGTGGACAGCGACTCATCCAGAGGTGCCCCGTAACCTTTTGCAAAAGGTCCCCATCTCCTTCCCCCATGGGCTAAGGTATAGTGGACAGCGACTCATTCAGAGGTGCCCCGTAACCTTTTGCAAAAGGTCCCTATCTCCTTCCCCCATGGGCTAAGGTATAGTGGACAGCGACTCATTCAGAGGTGCCCCGTAACCTTTTGCAGAAGGTCCCTATCTCCTTCCCCCATGGGCTAGGGTATAGTGGACAGCGACTCATCCAGAGGTGCCCCGTAACCTTTTGCAAAAGGTCCCTATCTCCTTCCCCCATGGGCTAAGGTATAGTGGACAGCGACTCATTCAGAGGTGCCCCGTAACCTTTTGCAGAAGGTCCCTATCTCCTTCCCCCATGGGCTAGGGTATAGTGGACAGCGACTCATCCAGAGGTGCCCCGTAACCTTTTGCAAAAGGTCCCCATCTCCTTCCCCCATGGGCTAGGGTATAGTGGACAGCGACTCATCCAGAGGTGCCCCGTAACCTTTTGCAAAAGGTCCCTATCTCCTTCCCCCATGGGCTAGGGTGCTGCGGACAGTGACTCATCCAGAGGTGCCCCATAACCTTTTGCAGAAGGTCCCCGTCTCCTTCCCCCATGGGCTAGGGTACTGCGGACAGCGACTCATCCAGAGGTGCCCCGTTACCTTTTGCAGAAGGTCCCCATCTCCTTCCCCCCATGGGCTAGGGTACTGCGGACAGTGACTCATCCAGAGGTGCCCCGTACGCTTTGTCTGCTGTGCAAAGATTTGAGCCTGGTTCTCCCCCCCCCCCCCCCCTCCCCTCCCCCTCCCCGG